TCCGGGAACTGGTGACGCCACGCGTCCGTCAGGCGGCTAAAGCAGCGCTGGGTGGGGTGCGCACCCCCACACTGCTCACCCGCACGGTCGCCGGTGCGCAGGACGTAGGTGCACGGACCAAAACCCCCACCCCGCTGGCGTGCAGTGTACCACTCACGGAGCTGCTGAGGGGACAGGGTCTCACAACCGCGCTGCTGCAGCTGGTGTGGACCACCACCGGAGCCACTCCTCTGCGTAGACCCGCGACCAGCTCCACCGCCACCCCCGCCGCCTCCGCCGCCTCCGCTACTACCGCCGCCTCCGCCGCCTCCTCCACCGCCACCACCTCCGCCACCTCCGCTCCCACCGCCACCGCCGCCGCCGCCTCCGCCTCCACTACCGCCACCGACACCTCCACCCCCACCTCCACTCCCACCGCCACCCCCACTCCCCCCGCCGCCTCCACCTCCACCTCCACCGCCCCCGCTCGCTCCTCCAGTGCCCTTGCCCCCCTTGCCCTTGCCCCCCTTGCCCTTGCCAGAGCGGCGTCTCCCGCTAGGGGCAGACGCCGCGCCGACCGACTCAAGACCAAGGAGGTCGGCCGCAGCAGCAGAGGCAACAGAGGGCAGAAGGGGGGAGGGGGAACACCCCTCAAAGATGGGGGTGCGCGGGTCACCACGAGAGGCCCCTACAGCGACTATGCTCTTCTTGGCCGCTAGGAGGGACTTCTCGAGGAGGTCAACAGTGAGAGTGGTGGGACAGACTGAGAGGAAGTGGTCCCTGACTACGCGAAGGGAGTCAGGGAGGCGAGTGACTATGTAGTAGAGAGTGATGTACATGGGGGGGGGTTCTTGGCGCAGAAGTCAGCAGGAAGCGCAGCGCGGTAGCGAGTGTCACTAGTGCGGAGGTGCGTAATAAGGTCAGCGACTGTGGGAAAGGCAGCAAGGTCAGGGAAGAGGTACGGTAGCATGAGACGGCTCAGCGCAGCAGTGGCAGGGGAGGAGTAGCGTGCAACTACAGCGTCGTACAGGGTCTGAGCACTCTTGTACTGACTAAAGTGCGCACGCTCAGAGGTAGGGAGGTGGCGACGCACAGCAAGATGTGCAGCAGCATCGTGCGTGGCCCACTGTGAGCGAACAGTGGCGTCAGCATCAGCAGCAGGAGCAGGAGAGGCACCCGAGGTGAGGTCAAAGAGGGAGAGTCCGTCTGCCCTATCGCACTGTAAGAACAGCTGCAGGTCATCTATCCAGACGTAAAAGTCAATGGCTCGACCCTCGACGTCAAAAGTGAGGACACTAGGGGTAGCCATGACAGCAGTAGACTAGCAGCGCTGACTGTAGAGCAGGGGCAGTGCAGTGACATAGGCACTGCACTCACCAGACAGGGCGGTTCGGGCAGCTCGGGCGGCTCGGCAGCAACTGCGGCTCGGCGGCGCCCGCGGCTCGGCTCCTCAGCTGCTCAGGCGGCTCGGGCGGCTCGGGCGGCTCGGGCGGCTCGAGTGGTTCGAGCGGCTCGGGCGGCTCGGGCGGAACGGGCGGCTCGGGCTGCTGAGCGGCGCGGGCGGCTCGGCTGCGTAGGCGGTTCGGGCGGGGCCGTAGGTAGGGCGACGGGGCCGGGTCGAAGGTAGGGCGACGGGGCCGGTGCGCATGTAGGGCGACGGGGCCGGGGCCGGGGCGCAGGTAGGGCGACGGGGCCGGGTCGAAGGTAGGGCGACGGGGCCAGGGCCAGGCCGTAGGTAGGGTGACGGGGCCGGGGCCGGGCCGTAGGTAGGGCGACGGGGCCGGGTGGAAGTTAGGGCGACGGGGCCGGGCCGTAGGCAGGGCGACGGGGCCGGGGTCGGGTCGTAGGTAGGGCGACGGGGCCGGGTTGACGGTAGGGCGACGGGGCCGGTGCGCAGGTAGGGCGACGGGGCCGGGGCCGGGGCACAGGTAGGGCGACGGGGCTAGGGCCGGGGCCGCAGGTATGGCGACGGGGCCAGGGTCGCAAGGGGGGGGGGGGGGGCGACGGGGCCGGGGTCGCAGGTAGGGCGACGGGGCCGGGGCGCAGGTAGGGCGACGGGGCCGAGGCGCAGGTAGGGCGACGGGGCCGGGGCGCAGGTAGGGCGACGGGGCCAGGGTCGTAGGTAGGGCGACGGGGTCGCTAGGGCGACGAATCAGGGGCCGCTAAGGCGGCGCGACTTGGCCGCTAGGGCGGCTCGACGAAGTCAGAGAAGGGAGCGCGACTCCGGGCAGAAAAAAAAAAATTCGACTTGGTGGGCCCTAGGCACAGTTCCCACGAGGGAACCTGCTCGATACCATGTGAGAATTGAAACGAGAATGAATGCACTTAGGAATGGAAAGTGGTACAAATATGCAACCCTAGAAATGTGTACCCCATATAGGCTACCCCACTACAGCCTACATAACATTATGATTTGACATGGCGAACTGTTACTGTAGAGGAAAATTGTCTACACGAAATCCAGGTTTTCGCCAGCCAACACTTTCGCGCTGGCAAGCCTGGTTCAAAACCAAAACTTCTGAACCTCCGCCAGGCAAATATAGACCCTCGTTTTAAGGTGTTTTGTACAGGTACTTGGACGCGGACACTCGCACCGATTCCGGCGATCGAAAGTGAGATTTCAATCCACACTGCACTGAAAACCTGCAATTACAATTTAAAAACCCTTCTATCCTTTCTAAAACCTGTAATGAAACGATCATGCATAGGATCGATCACGCAAATGTGGTGGGAGTGCCCGTGTCCTTACTAACTACTCCTTATGGAGTGATTAGTAAAGCTTTTCATACCGTACATCCATATGTTATAGATTAAATTTGCATGTAGCATTTGTTTGCGAGAATATTTTAATCCGAGCCTATTTCGTTATAATCTCAGTGATATTCCCTCGGCTGGGTCAGGCTGCCAACCTATGGTGGGGCTCCATGCGATGGATGAGCGCTTCGGAAAGCGGTTCGCCCCCCGACGTGGGTGCCACGGAATGTCGGGTGGCTCCTCCCCCAACCAACCTCAGGAACTCCACTTACGACTTCGCAACCCGTCGTCCACGCGGAGGCTGCGATTCCGTGGCCGATGCGACGCTCCTCTTGACAACCACGAAATCGCGTGCGACTGTACGACCAGCCCCTCCCCCTACCCTCTCAGACCTACTTCAGGGTTCGCGGGAGCTCCGCTTCCGTCGCCAGCGCAGGTACACCGACCCTACGTGCTCGAATTCCTTAGCAAGTATTCCCCTACAGCCCCCTCCAGCCAGCCCCTACCAGCCCCGCCCAGCTCTCCGCACCACTCTCCCCCTCCCAACCAAACACCCACCCTACCTCACCCACACACACTCCTCCGGGCGTAGTAAAGTCCCGCGGACAGCTGACTGCCGCTACATGTACGGGGAGGGCGCAGGTGAAGAAGAGGGGAATGTTGCGCTGCGCTCCGCTGCCTGGTTTCGTACGGGATGCGGATGGCCCCTCGTTGGCGTTGGGGCATCAGAACAGAACAGAACAGAACAAAACAGCCATGGCGCTCGTTCCAACAACCCTTGCTAGGTGCCGCTTCAGTATAGTTTTCGTGTTTTTCGCTCACAGTTTTGCTCTGGTCTATTGTTGAAGGAATTTCCTAAGCAAACGAGTATGGCCGACAGAAGTAGTGGCGCTAGTCAGATGGCAGTGGATTCGCGATTAATCACCGCACACGGCGCCACGGAGCATTCAGCGGAGCCCGCGTTGCTCCCGACATCCTCCACGTTCTTTTCTTCCAACAAATCCGCCGATTCCTCCTCGTCGCCGTCCACCTCTTCGTACTCCTCGAACGGCAGCACTGCCAAGGCCTATCAAGAGGTCCCTATCTACCGCACGACGGACGCGGCGCCACTGCCCGAAGCGCCCTCTCCGTCCTTTAGTCCGTTTCGGACCGCGCCGTACAGCGACCGCTTTATTCCCAGCCGCTCGTCGTCGCTCGCCTTCTCTTTCCCGCTCCTCGACCGCCCCGGCGACCCTCCGCAAACGTCGCACGGTTTCGGCGCGGGCCCCGAGGGGCGGGAGGACAGCGCAGCGGCGTACTCGCTGTTGCTCAAGTCGCAACTGCTCGGCGGGCAGCTTTCCGCGCCGCCTGCGCTAGGATCGAGTTCCGCGCAAGAGTCCGATTGCGTGCTCGGCAGACCGTGTCGCGTCCCCCTGCTTTCCGCCGCTACCTCCCCCTACTCCTCATCCTCCTCCCCCCTCGCGCCGAAGAATCTCTTCCGATATATTAACGGTGCAAGCAGCGCAGGCGGCGCCGCGGATCACGGCGGGGGGAGCGGGCTGGACTCACCGCTGTCGCTGTCGCCCATAGGGTTGGACGCCGCCTTGTGCGGGCTGCCGTTCAGCCCCAAAAAGGCGCCGCGAAAAATTGCAAGATCGCCGTTCAAGGTGCGCTCGCTCGCGGCGCGCCGAATATTCTCGCTTGCTTCTCATCTCCTCTCGTTATATGTCGCCCGTTATCAGGCTCACCGTATACCTCTCACGCACCGAGCGTTTGGTCGCTGCTCGATTGCGCATTAGAGACGTCTCAAATCCATGCGTTCGTAGGGTTATCAACGTTCGGACCGCCTAGCGGCCAACCAGTCGCTGGTGACGCCAGTTGCATCCCGCTCACCTCTCGTGCATGTGCCCTCCCCTCGAATTGCCCGCCTTCCCCTGTGGCCATCCCCGCGTCCACCCCGCGGCCAACCTCCGTGTCCTCCCGCCCGCTTCTCCGCTCCTCGCCGCCTCTCTCCACCGCCCCCCCACTCCGTTACCGCCCTTTCGCGCCTCCCGCCCCCGCAGGTGCTGAACGCGGCAGACGATTGTTATCCGAACGTCGTCGAACCTCCCCCCGCGCCTGACAACACTCCTTGCCCCTCTACCCGTCCCCTGTTTTACCAGGTGCTCGACGCGGCCGCGCTGCAGGGCGACTTCTATCTGAACCTGGTGGATTGGTCGTCCGCTAACGCGCTCACTGCACTCCTCGTCACCTCTTCATCCTCCCCCTTCCTCCTTCCCCATCATCAGGTCCTCGACGCGCCAGCACTGCAGGACGATTTCTATCTGAACCTGGTCGACTGGTCATCCACCAACGTGCTCGCCGTGGGGCTCGGCTCGTGCGTCTACCTCTGGAGCGCCGCTAGCAGCAAGGTGATTACATGCTGCCAGCAAAGCAGCAAGGTACTTAGCAGCTCTGCCAGCAAGGTCGTTAACGTGCTCGCCGTGGGGCTCGGCTCGTGCGTCTACCTCTGGAGCGCCGCTAGCAGCAAGGTAGTTAAATTTAGATACGTTTGCGCGAAGGCAGTTTAGTGTTTCCAGCAGCAAGGTTGTTAAACGAGTTCACTATGGAGTGCCGCCAGCAGCAATATCGCGATTAGGAGCGCCGCTGACAGGGAGCAAGGCGTTTAGATCAGATACCCTTGTTATGCCGCCGGCAGCGATGATTCAAAGGACGTTGCCGACATCAGGGTGATTAGAGGCGCCGAGTACGGGAAAGTAATGAGGCGCCGAGTACGGGAAAGTAATGAGGCGCCGAGTACGGGAAAGTAATGAGGCGCCGAGTACGGGAAAGTAATGAGGTGTTATTGAGATCAGGAGGTAGCTCCGGTTCAGGAGAGGCGCAGGCGAGCGGAACGGCGCGCAGGCGAGCGGAATGGCGCGCAGGCGAGCGGAATGGCGCTGGCGAGCGGAATGGCGTAGGCGAGCGGAATGGCGCTGGCGAGCGGAATGGCGCTGGCGAGCGGAATGGCGCTGGCGAGCGGAATGGCGCTGGCGAGCGGAATGGCGTAGGCGAGCGGGAAGACGGAGAAGGGGAAAGGGAGGAGGCGAGCGGGAGGGCGTAACTGCGTCAGTGCCGTTGACGGGGAAAAGGGACGGGTGTAGAGATTTGTTGAAGCGATAAGGGTGGCAGCTGGGGAGTTACCTTCACTATTGACCATTCCGCTGACTGGCGCGCGCACGTGCCACTGTCTGGCGCGCACACATGCCACTGTCTGGCGCACGCGCATGCCGCTGACTGGCGCGTGCGCACGCTATTACCCCGCGCGTGGACGCGCGCACGAGACAGGGCTGGCTGGATGGTTATCCGCGAGTTCGCATGGGTCCCGAGCGGAGCTGAAGGCTTTTTGAGCCGACAATTAAATCGCATGTGACGGCCTTTCTGGCTGGCTGGTTGCACGTGCGTTCCCATTGGTCCCGATCGTAGCTGAAGCCGGCACTCCGTCGTCGTCGCGATCGCCGCCAGCTGGACGGCTCAGAAGCACTCCCTTCTCAATCCCACCCCGCACGCCCCTTCCCTTCCACGCGCCCTTTACCTTGCGCGCGTGTCCCATTCTGCGCGCCCCTCTGCTTGCGCCCACCCCGCGCAGGTGACAACTCTGGTGGAGTGGGCCCGATCGACGCCGTGTGCTCCGTCGGCTGGACGTCTTAAGACCACTCTCTTGTTCCCTTCTCCTTCCCGACGTGCGCTTCCCCTCTTCCGCACACCCCTCCCCGGCCTTTCCCCCCCCTCCCCCTCCCCCTTGCGCAGGTGACGAAGCTGGTGGACGTGGGCCCCAGCGACGCTGTGTGCTCTGTGAGCTGGACGCAGCGCGGCACGCTGCTGGCCGTCGGGACCAACAACGGTCACGTGCAGGTGTGTGGTGGACACGTGAAGGGGAGTGGGGAGCATGTGACGGGGTGTGGGGGGCACGTGCATGTGGATTTGGGCGCGTTGGGGCGCGTTGGGGTGCGTTGGGGTGCGTGGGGAGCATGTGCAGGGGTGTGGGATGAAGCAACGACGGGTTGGGTACCAATAGACGAGCGTGTTTGCCTCGCCCCTCAAATCCCCCCTCCATTGATTCTCAGGTGTGGGACGTGGTGAAGGGGCGTCGGGTGCGGTCCATGGGCGGGCACAGGGTGCGAGTGGGAGCCATGGCGTGGGCGGCGAACGTGCTCGCCACAGGCAGCCGCGACCGCAGCGTGCTGCAGCGGGACGTGCGCTCTCCTGTGGACTTTGTTGCTCGACTCACTGCTCACAGGAGCGAAGTGTGCGGGCTCAAATGGTCGCCTGACGACAGAGAGCTGGCTTCCGGGGGCAATGACAACCAGGTGTGTATTTGTGGTGGGTTCAGGGGCAGCATAGGGTGCAGTGTGGTGCAGAGGGACGAAGTGAGTTCTTATTGAAATGGTCGCGTGACGATAGGGAGCTGGCTTCTGGAGGGAATGACAATGTAGGTGAGGCGGAGGCAGGGGCAGGTGCAGTGGCGACCGCACGTCCCTCTCGCCTATGGATCTAGTAATGCAGCTCACAGCTCCCCTTCCCCCTGTCCCCGTCCTTCCCTTCCCATCTCCCCTCTTCCCCCTCCGACCCCTCTCCCCTCAACAGCTCCTGATTTGGAGTGTGCTAACGTCACGGCAGCCGGTGGTGCGATTCATGCAGCACCAGGCGACAGTCAAGGCCATCGCCTGGTCGCCGCACCAGCACGTTTCGTCTACCACCCCTCAACACGCCCCTCCCTTGTGTTCTTTTGTCTCCCCTCCCTCCTCCCTGCCCCGTTCTCCCTCTTACAGCTGCTAATCTGGAGTGTGCTCACCTCACAACAACCAGTGGTGCGGTTCACGCAGCACCAGGCAGCAGTGAAGGCCATCGCCTGGTCGCCGCACCAGCACGGCCTGCTCGCGTCGGGAGGCGGTACGGCAGATCGCTGCATTCGCTTCTGGAACACCGCCACTGCCACGCCTCTGTCGAGGGTCGACACTGGTAGCCAGGTCGGCATCTCTCTCATTTGTCTTCTCTCTTGACCGCTCTCGACCTCTCTTGACCGCTGCGTCCGCTTCTGGAACACTGCCACTGCCATGCCTCTGGCCTGGGTCTGTTGACCGCTCTCGACCGCTGCTTTTGATTCAGGCGCACCGCTACTGCCCCGCCCTGGTCGTATGTCGACACTGGTAGCCAGGGCCCAGTTGGGAACCTGACTGGATCGATCTCTCTTCCCTTCACGTGGCTGTGTGTGTCTCTCTCATCGTGCCTACCTTCCATTCTCGCCCTCCCCTCCACTCATTCGCACTCCTTTCCACCCATCAGCACTTCCCTCCACCCATTGGTACTCCCCTCCACCCATTGGTGCTCCTTCTCAACATTGCCTTTTTCTGTGCCTGCCAACGTGTATGCATGCATCTGTGGGCATGTGTGTGCTCTGTGCATCCGTGCATGTGTGTGTCTCTGCACATGCGGATGCTTTGATGCATCTTTGAATGGGTGCGTGCATGTGCTGGCATGCGCTCATATGTTACCGCACGTCCCGAATGCATGCATGCATGCAGGTGTGCAACCTCCTCTGGTCGCGAAATGCCAACGAGCTAGCAAGCACACACGGCTACTCGCAGAATCAAGTCGTTGTCTGGAAGTACCCCTCCATGGCGAAGGTAATCACCTTTTATGGCAAACGTTTTATCAACTTTCACGCACACTGAACACAGTCTGCTGCCACCAGCCACGGTTGAAATGCATAAAAAAGACAGAAGAAAAAAAGACTGCACAATTTAACTCATGTTTCTATCATCCTGCGTTTTCTTGTCCTTTTCTTGCCAGCTGGCCACCCTAACCGGCCACACCATGCGGGTGCTCTTCCTCGCTGTGTCACCGGACGGCCAGGTGCGTCTTCTAGCGGTCTGGCAGAATGGTCAAGTGCGTCCTTTAGCAGCCAAGTGTGTCTTTTAGCAGAATCTTACCAGCCTCTCACCTGGAAAAAGTTTTTGTCTGGTGAAAATGCTTAGCATCTAGGCATATCGGGGGATGGCTCTTGGTTTGACACACAAGGCCACTCTGGTTCTTGCCATCCAGGTTAAGTATAGTGCAAGGATGTTTACTTAAAACATAAATATGTCATTTTATGCAGCAGATGCAGCGTTTTTCGATTGTGTTGGATCACGCTTCTTTTAAGCACAGACCACCCCCCCGGTCTATCATCTTGATACAATCACAGCCATTGTCCCCTTTATCCCTTACCATTACAGACCATTGTAACGGGAGCAGGCGACGAGACCCTTCGGTTTTGGAACGTCTTTCCGGGAACCAAGTCACAGGTATGCAACACTGTCATTCACATTCATGCACTCACTTATTGGCCCATGGACGCACATATTGACCCACCAGCATTTGGATTTCGTTTATGATGCCTCCGGGCTGCCTTGTCCCTTGCCCGTCTTATCACTCCGATCTATTTTATCCCCTCTTGTGCTGCCTATCTGAGCACCTCGCAGTCCGGACTGATCAAAGCTGGCACATGAACGCTGCCACAGGTATAGATGGCCCCACTCACGTGCTTCCCTCCCTGCCGGATTCTCATCCTCTCCCCTTAAATCCTCCATCTCTCCATCCCTCTTTCCATATCCCCCCACCCTTCTCCACCGCTCTCCACACTCCAGGGTCCCCAAAGCTCGTCGATGCTCGCGTCAGAACGAAGTCACATCCGCTGACGGGCTCAACCCCCTCAGATGGCATGTGATGTGATGTGAGCCATTCTACTGCTGCCTCTATGTGACCAAGTACCATCTCTCCTTTCCCCACATGGGTTTGTGACATCAGCATCGGTCTCCAACTGCCATGTCAGCTTGTGGATGTGCCACGACAGCTTGTGAATGCAGTGGGAATGCGGGGAGGGAGAGTGGAATGGGAGGGACGTTGGAAGCTCCTTGGCACACGATGGGTGGTATGGAAATGCAGGGCAGCTGCTGTTTTTGAGTCGACTCAAAAACAGGAATGGGAGGGGCAATGTAAGCGCCTTGGCACAGGATGGGTTTTATGGAAATGCAGGGCAGCTGCTGTGGTGTGTCTTTCCACATTGGGAACATGTGTGCGAAGCAACCAATGCTGGTTCTGCTGCTGCTGCTGCTGCTGTTGCCAGTGGTATGCGGGGTGAAACGGTGGGAGGCGGTGGTTGATGCAGTGATGGAGCAACGAGTTGGTGGGTGGGGGTTTGTGGCTCAGCACTCTTGGTTGGTAGAGAAAGTGATCATGTTGGGTCAATGCAGGGGGGTTGGAGTGCATTGCAGAAGTGATGGCGGCAGTGCGATGGGGATGGTTGGAGTGTGGTTGGGCCTTGCTCGTGGGTGGGCCTTGCTTGTGTGCAGTCCATGCTCTGGTTGCCTCTGCACTTGGGCTGCTGGTGCTGCTGTGTGCGCATGTATATTGGGCCGTGCTACATTCAATAAATGCAGTCCAAAAATATTTCTGTTTCTTGTGCTAATGGTGAAAGTTGATGGCCTCTGTCCATCCTATCCATTCTGAGTTTCTCACTTGCAATGCATGAAACGAAATTGCTTATTGAAGACCGGTACACGCAGTGTAATGCATCAAAACCAAGGCAAGCATTTGTGAATCCTGGAAACTGGAGTTGAGAATCTTTCAAAAAAAAATGCTTTGACAGACTGGCCAACAGGATGTTCAGGATTATTTTGAGACATTCTATCCAGAAACTACAGCACGCAGGCAAATTAGGCCTGGAACATGCAACAAAAAAATGCTTCTGAGCGGTACATGCCAAATTAGCTCAGAAACAAGAGCTAAGGATTAACCGCTGTTCCCAGCTGGAAATGATTTTATATATTCAAATAAAAGGGAAGCTGCACTGGCGCTCATGGCTTGATTGTAAAGAGAGGCTGCAAAAGAGCACATTCAGATCGAGAGCAGGGAGAGGGTTGGGAGGAAGGGGAATGTGATATGGGTGGAGGAATAGAGGAGAGAGTTTGAGGTAGTGTGGATGGGGGTGTTTGGGAAGCGGTAAAAACAGGTCACTAGGTGGAAAATTGAATAAAGCAAAAAACATGGGAACGGGGGAGAGGACAAAAAGGAAGGGGCCTGAACAAGGGAGGGCAAATCACTCCCATCACAACACAATGGGTGTGTGAGCGGGGCGGGGACTTACCGCGCCAACAGACACTGGTTTGCCGTCCTCTGCGATGATGGCCACCACCGTGCCTGACTGGTCCGCCTGCACACGGGAATGAAGAGGCACAGGGTCATGCGGTCAGCGTTTCTGGCATAAAAATCAGTTAAATGTTGAGACATGTCAAAAGTCTGGTTTGCCATCCTCTGCAAGAATCGCTACCACCGTTTGCCAGACCCGCCTGCACATGGGAAGCCAAGTGGAGGTCATGTGGTCAGCTCCTCACACATGGAAACGACTAGATTGGTTCCAATAACCCAAGGGTGAAACAACAATCGAATCTGGCGACCCTCATCTAGCAGCAGCACACACACCGTGTTTCCTTGCACCACTCGCACGCACCTCGATTTCGTTCATGAGCTTCATGGCCTCCACGATGCACACCACTTGCCCCTTGGTCACCTTGTCCCCAACCTGCCACGCCATGCCACGCAATGGCAGTCAAGTTATCCATCCCATCCGATGTCCCATGCCATGCCCCATGCCATCAGGCCATCAACGTCCCAAGCATATCAACACCAGCACGCCAACATGCCATGGAAAAACGTAACGCCCACACAATTGAAAGCACAAGTGACTTATGGTGGGGTTGGGCAGGAGTGGATGCGCAGGGAAGGGTGGGAGCAGAGACATAGGAAGGCAAAAATCGGAACGCGCCCAGAGGAACAAGCCTTGCCTTGACCAGGGGAGACCTCGCGTTGACCACGAGAGGCTTCTCTTTGACCAACGGATCCCACTCACCTTGAGGAAGGGGGGTTCGCCGGGGGCGGGGGAGGAGTAGTACGTGCCAGCCATGGGGGAAACCATGGGCGGAAGCGCGGCGGGCGGAGGCGGCGCAGGCGCGGCGGGAGCAGCAGCGGGCTTGGCAGCAGGCGCGGGGGCGGCGGCGGGGGCGGGAGCCGGGGCGTCCGCGTATTGGAACGGCGCCATCATGTGGGGAGGGGGGTAGGCGGGGTACGCGGGCGCGGCAGGCGCGGCGGGGGCGGCGGGCGCGGGGAGCGCCTCCTTCTTGCGGATGAGGATCTCAAACCCCCCTTGCTTGAGCTCCAGCTCGACGATGTCGCGCGAATCCACCAGCCTGCGCGGAACGGGGAAGGGAAGGGGGAGGGGAGCGGGAAGGGGAAGCGTTAAGGGGAAGGGGAAGGGGAAGCGGGAAGGGGAGAGGTTTAGGTTGGGAAAGTGAGGGGAGAACGACGGCATGAGGGCTTCCAATCAAGTGGAACGTTGCTCGCGAGTGAGATTGAGCTCCGCTCTACTGTGCCCCACGTGTTTCTTTAGGCGCCGCGAACAATTGTCTGCTTCGGGTGCTTGAGCTCCGCTAAAATGTGGCCCCCGAATCCATTGACTTGGGCACAGGCAGGGAAAATGAGGGGTGGGGGTTCGTGAACGAGGGGACACTTCTATGGGGGTTCGAGGATGGTCCGCCTAAATGCGCGCCGCAGGGTTCCGCAAATTCACGAGTGTGAGCAGAAAGGGGAAAGGGAGGGGGGAAGGGGGTGTGGGAGGGGAAATTGGGAGACAGAACAACGGAACGAGAAGGGACGAAGAAACATATGGAACGGAAACTGACGGCCTAGAAAAGGGAAAGAGCAGCGATGAGAGAGGTCGATAATTATAGCGAAGCGCGTCGAGCTGCACCGCGGACAATTGTGTAGTCCAGGCGCGAATGACGCGTCGGCTAGTGAATATTAATGCTAACAGGGTGATTAAACGCACTTGATGAGGCTCGAAACATCGGCAATGAACGCTGACGTGTCAGTGATCTCCGCCGCTGGCGTCTCCGACGCCGCCGCAGCCGCTGCCGTTGTCTGGAGCGAGGGAGGGGTTGATCAAGACCGAGATAGGTACGTTGGAGGACGGATTAAGGAAAAAACGGAAAGACGGGGAGAGACGGAAGGAGGCGGGTTGAGGGGTACAGAGTCAAGAGGTGAGGCGCGTGCGTGTGAGTGAGAGCGGATGGTGTTGCTGCATGGGTAACGCAATTGATGGATGGAGGAAGCAGCGACGCGGATGACAGAAGCGCAGCAAAAGGTGCCGCACACGGGTGCTTTCGAGCGTGTGTTCGAGCGTGAGTGTGCGACAGGCGCGGGTGCACACGTGATGACGGGGCAAGGGAAAGGCGGAACGGCCGAGCACGAGAAGCGAAGAGAATGGAGTACAGCGATGCGATCGAGAGGTGGGGGGGTGATGGTGGAAAGGGTGGAGTCGGAAGGAGGCGCGGGGAGGAAAATGGTGGGGCGGGGGGAAGGGGGGGGGAATGGGGGTAATGGGGGGGAAGGGAGAGAAGGGGAGGGTATAACCGGAAGAGTTATGGTGAGTGGGATGCAGCCGGAAGAACAAGGAGCAGAGGACAAAGCGGACGGAGTTTTGAGCCGCCTCAAAACTCGTGACGAGTGGGATGCAGCCGGGAGGATAGAGAGCAAATGGCAAAGCGGACGTAACGAGGCAACGCGGACAGTGGGCGGCAGCACGGCGAGGCGAGAACAGGTGGCTCACTTACGTTGTCAGCGGCGGCGCATCGAGTGACCCGTCGCGACGTAGCGCTGGCCTGCAGGAATCGCGGGGAGGAAAAGATGGCGAGACGATTGCGATGTGATGGCGGCGGGATTGCGAGGTGACTGAGTGATGATGTAACAAGGTGAAGAGGTGAGGAAGGTGAAATTAGCAAGGAAGGGAAACAAGTCGACACCACGTGGCGAAGCCGATATGTCGAGTGGCCACGTGGCGACCAAGTGGAACAGAAGAATTTGTATCATCTCTAAACGCTGGGCGGAACAATACACGATTGCATTGCGAGCTTACTATTGACGGTCAATCGCAACCTCCCGTTGAATACGTGGGGGAGCTGGGGAAAAGGCATGCGCAGGAGGCATGTCAAACATGCGATCAAGCAGCACCCGTATTGTGCCGACGCCACCGCTTTCTTACGATCATACAGGCGCTTCAATTTTGCAATCCCAATCTGCACCTCTTCCCCATTCTCTCTAATTCAGGAGGTTATTATTAGCTTGCGTGAATGTCCAATTTCTCTCCATCATACTTGGCGCTGATTTGGCTCAAAATAGGAGCCATCCCCTTACGTCACGACGCAGCGAGGCGCAGTGAGGCACGGACCTGGAGAGAGGCCTTGGCGGCAGGCACGACCCGAAGCGACTTCGTGGAAGCGCAGCTGGCGGAGGACAGAAGCTCCGCCGCGCGGTCGGCCTTGGCGGCTGCCTGCCAGGCGACCGCACCGAGCGTGCACGCGGTAGACGCTGCCATGGCGATAGTAACTCGTGAGTGAAACGGCGGAGAGCGGGTGTGAGGATCTGGCGGAACAAAAAACTGCTGCGGACCAGATCACAATTACCAGCAGGAAGAATGAGAAGAACTGGCTTAGTCGGGAATCGGGATCAAGGGGAATAGAGTCCTGTGTGTGTGTGTGTGTGTGTGTGTAGTGTAGACTGAGTGGAGGAATCGAGGGATGAAATTGAATCGAGGCCAGAGGGTAGGCGGATGAACCGACGGATTGTGGCGGAAGCAGTTGCGGCGGAAGGGGTGTTGGCGCAAAGGGATTGCCACGCAGAGCGTGGGGGGTGAATGTGATGGGATCGGAGGCAAGGGGGGGACAGGGATTGAGTGGCGCAGGCGGGTTTGGCGGGGCGGGAAGGTTGTGAATGGGTGGTGGATGGCGCAAAGGTCTTATCGCCACGTCATTCATATCCATGCGACAGCAACTGTCATTTCCAAGAGCGACTCTTCACGAAACAGCTAGAGAAACAACTCCCGTTTGACGCGTTTGACGAGGTTCGCGAACTATGGAAAAGTTACTTTTTGTTTCAGCCAATGGTTCGGCATCGGCGAGATGCCAGACACACAAGATTTTCGTATAACGAAAGGCTTCTGATGTTTGCACGTGATAGTGTATCTCGTTAGTAATGTTGACAATGACGTGGATCTGAAACTAGCATGTAACCATGTTAATCCTATCTCTTTGTGACAAATAATAACTAGAAGTAAAATATGTAACCAGATGGAAGCAAGGATTTAAGAAGATTGTGATTTTGAGAACAAACTTATGTTTTATACAAGATCATAGACATACACGCCTGATACTACTACCGTATCAATCCTTAAAAACTTTCAGGCATGCATTATCACCTACCGTATCCCCACCCGAGGAAAGTGAGAGAGCTACAGCATTTTTTTTGTACAGGAATACACCATTGCACCTCCCTTCACTCCCCAGCCTCCCTTGCCCCACCGCTGCAACAAGGCCATGTAAGCACTATCAAACCTACATTGAACCCTCCCAGTACCGTGTAAATGCAACGCCTTACTTCCTGTCAAGCGACTCGCTCGACGACCCTCAGCTTGGCACTCCTGCTGCGTGCATTCACCCTCCACTCATCCTCCTCCGCCACCACCGGCCGCTTCGTCACCACCCGGTACCTCGCATGCCCATGCCCTTCCAAGCCACTGCTGCTCCCTACTCCTGGTGCAGACACTGGCACAGGCATGGCCACTGGCAAGGGCACTGGCACAGGCATGGGCACAGGCACGCCGGCGGCAGCTTCCAGGAAGCTTCGCTTCACGATGCGATCCTCGAGCGAGTGGAAGGAGATGACAGCCAGTCGGCCGCCCGGCGCCAGCAGGGAGAGGGCAGCGGGAATGGCGAGCGCCAGGGCGGCAAGCTCGTCATTTACTGCGATGCGGAGAGCCTGGAATGTGCGGGTGGCCGGGTGGATGCGCATGCCTGGACCACCACGGCGGGAGGAAGAGGCTGAGATGGGGCGTACAGGGCAGGGGATGTGCAGAGGGGAAATGGGCGCAATAGGAGGTGAGATGAGACAATGGAGAGCACCTGCAAGGTGCAGGTGGCCGGGTGGATGCGCGTGCCTGGACCACAGCAGCGGAGGGACGAGGCTGGGAGCCAGGGGCGGGAGGGGATGTCAAGAGGGAGATGGGCGCAACAGGAGGCCAGATGAGACAATTGGCAGAGTGTGGAAGGTGCGGGTGAGTGGATGCGCGTGCCTGCTCCATCACGACGGCGGGATGATGAGGCTGGGAGGGGACGTACAGGGCAGGGCATGTGCAAGAGGGAGATTGGAGCAATAGGAGGGAGATCGCATCAACCCAGCCTACCAGTGCTTTTCTTAGGCCCATATGCCCCTCCAGCCACAATCGCAGCGAGCTGGGTGGTGGTGCTGATGCGCCCTCTCCCCCGCGCCTCCACGATCCGCCGGGCAATCTGCTGCCACCGCCGCTCCTCCCCCAGGTCTCTCAAGATCTGCCCCAAGACCTCCTCCGGCCAATTGTTAACTGCAACCTCAGCGGTGAGGGGGCTCTGGTGGTGGGGGAAGGGGACATGGGTGGTGAATGTGAATGTGGAAGGGGAGGGGGGAGGCAGAGCTGAAATGGAAAGAGACGAGAGGGAAGTAAGCAGCAGGAGCACATACAACACACATGACATGTACAGACAGTTAAAATCCAATGAATTGTTTCACCTTAGGGTCCATGCGCATGTCTAGCGGCCCATCCCTTAAGAAGCTAAATCCCCTTTCGGCCCTGTCGATCTGTGAGGGGAGAGAGAGGGCAGCGCAGAGGGACAACTATTTGTAAGGACAGAAAGGAGGGAGAAAAAGATATGTGGGAGTAGGAGGGGTGGAGAACCCACTTCAAAGAAAAAATCCATCGACTGCCTCTGAAACTACCTCCCCTAGAGCAGCCCTCGCGTGCCTTAGATACCACCTGCCTCAGATACCACCTGCACAAGAGCAACCGGCCTTCACCTGCGTGGACAACACCCCCACATGCCACGCCCGCACATGCCACAGAACACCCCCACCTGCATCAGATGCCACCTCCACCGAACCAGCCCGCACCTGCATGGAAGACACCCCCACGTCCAGCAGAATGCCGTCCACGCTGCCACGCCCCACCCCCACGCCCGCACATGCCTCCACCATCCGCCGGAAATTCCCCTCCACCACGTGCAGTGTCGCTGTGGCCCTCCTTTCCTCCGCCACTCGCAATGTCGCTTCCGGTGTCTCTACTGCTCGCAGCGTTGCTTGCCCATGCGCCTCAGGCTGCCCGCACTCCGCAACTGGCGCTGCTGCTTGGCCGTGGGCATGGAGATCTTGCGGCCTGGCTGCCTTTGCGCCTGGCGGGGCAGCGATGCGCAGGAAGGGATGCAGGCGCGCGGCAGCGATGGCATGTGCTGCAGGGTCCACGTCCACGCCCACCACCGTCTGTAGCTCTGGATGGCGCTGGCATAGCTGCAGGGGAGAAACGAAATGGGAGAGAGCACAGGAGAGAGCAGAGGCAAAAGAGTGAAGGGAGGCAAAATCAGCAGCGATGGCGTGTGCTGAGGGGCCCACGTGCACGCCCTCCACCGTCTCTAGCTCTGGATGGTGTTGGCATAGCTGCAGGGGAGATGTGAAGAGGGTGGGAGAAATGCGGAGGCATGGGAGTGAAGGGAGGAGGCAGTGCAACATATGATGTGCTGAGGGGTCCACGCCCACCACCGTCTGTAGCTCTGGATGGTGCCGGGCTAGCTGCACACACACATGCCCACGGACACATGAGGGAGACGGTGAATGGAGGGGAGGTGCAATGAGGGCAGCAGCGGTGAATGGAGGGGAGGTGCAATGAGGGCAGCAGCGATTGCATGTGCTGCGGGGTCCGGTCCACGTCCATCCATGCTCACCACTGTCTGTCTGTAGCTCTGGATGGTGGCGAGCTAGCTGCTCACACGGAGAGGGAAACGAAGGAAAGCAGCGGCATGTGCGATGGCATGTGATGACTTGTGCTATGTCAATGCACATCATAGTCGTATCGATTATAGAGGCGAATCAACAGTGTGCCTGTGTCTCTGGTTGGTGCCGGGCCAGCTGCAGGGGAGGAAGGAGGGAACGCGTAAGCAGGAGAGTGACCAGGAGGGGGCAGAAGCAGCAGCACCCTTTGTGAGTGCGATGGAGCGGGTGCCTGTTAGACACACCGTGCCTGTGAGACACACCGTGCAGAGACGGGGGAAACAAACCATGGTCTCTGCAACTATAGGAGTCACACCCGTTACACTCATACCTGATACAGTCACACATGGCACACCCGTTACAATCTCACCCAGCACTGTCTAGCCTGTAACCACGGTCACACCTGTTACACCCAGCAAGCGAGCGTGTGACCACCAGCGCCCAGAGTGCCGTCCACCAGTGTTGTCAACCACACGCCCTCTTTGAGGCATCTCATAACTACCTCCCACCTGTTACAGTCACACCTGTTACTGGCACACACGGCACTCACAGCGAGAGTGTGGCCGCCGGCCCCTAGTGTGCCGTCAACCAGAGTTGTCAACCGCACGCCCTCAAACGCCCCCACCACCTCCCGAACCAGCACCGGCACGTGCGGCCACTCTCCCCCCTGTCTCCCCTCCGCGCCCAATCTCGCCTCCCCCTCTTCCCCCGCGTCTGCCCCTTCCGCCTCCGCCCCTCCGCCCACCCACCTCTCCGCCTCCGCATAGCTCACCCCCCTCCTCAGGCTCTCCCCGCTGCTTGCCTCCGCCCCCTCCCGCGTCCGCTGCTTCTCCTCCTCCCTCCGCCTCCTCCTCTTCTTCCGCCCCCCCTTCTCCTCCCCTCCCCCGCTCTCTTCCCTATCGCTGCTACTACCGCCGCCTTTATCCAACTCGTCTTCCTCACCTGCGTGCATGACGGCCCTTTCCCCTACTTCATCCCACTCTTCCCTGTCCTCCTCTTCTTCCCCCTCTTCCTCTCCCCCCTTCCCCCTCCCGCTGTATCTCCTGCCGCGCGCAACGATAACACCGGCCTCGCCCCCGCCTTCCGCCCGCGCAACCAGGGGGAGCGCAGCACGCAGCTGCAGCCCCGCCAGTGGCGCGCCAATGCGCCCCGCGCCTCCTCTTGGAGCGCCGGGGCGCCTCAGCGTCTCCTCTCCGGGGTGCGCGCAAGACGTGCTGGCCCAGATACTAGCGGAGGGCGAGGCGGAAAGGCAGGGGGAGGGTCGTGGGGAGGCGCAAGCGGATTGGCGGAGAAAAACGTGGGATTTAGCGCAGAGGGAGGCGCGGGAGGATAGCGACGTGAAAAAACGAGACGGGATGAGCGAGTCCCTGTCGCTGTTTCTGCTGACTTGGCTGACCCTGTTGACTCCGTTGACTCCGCTGACTCTGTTAACGCTGTTGTCTCTGTCGGCCCCGTTGACTCCATTGAATGTCGCTGCGACGGTCCGTCGGTCGGGAGGAAGGAGCCACGGCCCGAGGCGTGCCCGAGGCGACGCGAGCGAGTGTGACAATGGCGAGGGGAGCGAAATGCGATCCATGGCGCAGGCCCGGCAGGCGAAGACGCGCATCTAGATTGCGATCTGGTCCGTTGCGACTCGGCCCGTTGCGACTCGGTCCGTACACGATAGTGGCGCACGATACCCCAGTTCTGTCCGTTGCGGGCCTATTTCGCAACACCTTGCGCCATAGCAAGTCGTGGACTGGTCCGAGCAGCTGATTGGCTCGGAGGAAGTGAAGGGGCCTGCGCAATGCGGTTGTAACGGAAATAAGAACTAGAATGACTTCCGCCCATGCGCAACGCGGTTGTAACTTACTGTGTTTCTAGAGGCCTTTGCTTGTCTTAGTAGTTCTGATTCCAATGTCTCTATGACAACAATGTCTCTTTCTGCCTGTGGTACGGCCACTAAGAATCACCAGCATCTTCAAGTCAAACCCCCAAACCTTGGCGATTAGAAATCCCTTGATATAACAAACAGTTGTTTGGACATTAGATTGCAAGCTTTAGCGAGTTCTCAGAGCTAATGGTTGCTATATCGCTTCTGTGGTCAACTTTATAGAGGGGAATCCTCACCCTGAAGATCCAAGCCAGCCACCTGCCGCCTCACCTCGGCCCGCTAAAACACCTTACATTTGTGCATTCCTTCCACGAGCCGCGCAATTCCGCATTTACCGCTCTCTCCGCCCCCAAAATTACTCTGTCTGCGGATCAACGCGCGCCCATACGGCGCAAATAGCAAGAGATTCACCCTTGTCGCCCTCTTCCCCGTCGTTCTCGTCGCTCTCGTCGACCTCTCTTCCCCGTCGCCCTCGTCGCCGTTGTCGCCTGTCGTCACAATCGTCGCACGCAGCTGCCCGCGCACACTCGCAAAAACTGCGTTCTTTGCGGAAGGGGGGGGCATCGAGTTGCCATGACGTAACGTCCGAGAACTCTTAACGCGCCTCAAGAGGCGCTTCGGAGGGGGGGAAGAAAGGAGATGGCGGAGGTGGCGGAGGATCCGCGCAGCGCAGCCGGAGGCGCGACATCGGCGGGGATGCTGCGCGATGCGCGCACGCCGCCGAAATCGTGGTCGGATTTCGAGCCGCCGACGGCGCGGTGGGCGAATCCGTTCGCGCTGCGCGTGGGGCAGGTGTTCACGGGGTTCGGCGTGGGATGCGGCGTGGGTATCGGCGTTGGCCGGCCCGTGAACCTGGGTAAGGGCACTGGGGTGGCTAGTGGGGTAGGGCGCATTGGGTTAGGGCGCATCGGGGTAGGGCACATTGGGGTAGGGCGCATCGGGGTAGGGCACATTGGGGTTGGGGCGCATTGGGTTAGGGCGCGTCGGGGTAGGACTCTTTCTCTCTCCCCGCTAGGCTTCCTGCCAGCAGCAGCAGCTGCACCGTGGCGTCTCCTGGTGGGAAATTCCAACCGACTCACAATGCCGTTTGAGTCTCCTCAAATCGCACCTTTTCCCCTTTCGAGTCGCCTAAAAGGCAGCTCTTTTTTCCTTTTGTTTTCTCTGCCCTCTCTGCCCTCTCTCCCACCGCCAGGCGCCTCGCCAGCAGCAGGGGCGGTGGCATCCATGGCGGGTGATTTCAACCGTCGCATTGCGACTTTCCTAATCGCCTCAAGAGCCACCACTCTCTCTGTCTCCCTCTCTCTCTGCGCTCAGAATCTGCCTGTCCAATCTGTGCTCTCCCAATCCCCCCCACTATCACCGCCACCCACCACCAGGTGCGTTGCCAGGAGCAGGGGCGGTGGCATCCATGGCGGGTGATTTCAACCGACTCGCTGCTGGCGCCGCTGCTCCCCTCCGCCCACTCGTGAGCGCCCCTCCGCGTTTTGGTCAGCGCCCCCCGCCCTCTGCTCAGTTCCCCTCCCCTCCGCTCTTTATCACCCCGCAATTATCTCTGTGCCCTCTCTCACCTCTCTCCCTTCTTTCCACTCACCCTCTTCCACCAATCATTCCCTCGCATGTCCCTTCCTTTCCTTCATGCCATCTGAGGTGTCTGGGCTGGGAGTGCCACACGTGGATGTGGGTGTGGGATGCGACTGGGCTAACCACTCTCCCCTCTCTCCCCTCTCTCCCCTCTCTCCCCTCTCTCTCCCCTCTCCCCTCTCTCCCCTCTATCCCCTCTCTCCCCTCTCTCCCCTCTCTCCCCTCTCTCCCCTCTATCCCCTCTATCCCCTCTCTCCCCTCTATCCCCTTTCTTCCCTCTATCCCCTCTCTCCCCTCTCCCCGCTCCCTTCCCCCGCCTCCTGCAGCTGAGGCGTATGGGAGTGCCTCACGTGGATGTGGGCGTGGGGTGCGGAGTGGGTTTCGGCCATGGCTTTGGCGCCGGTGTTGCCCTCAAGCCACAAGTTCTGGCGTCCCTGCTGCAGTCTGCACAGGTACAGCAGGGCCGGTGCTGTGGCATGGCATGGGGTGGCACGCTGTGGCATGTTGTGGCATGGCATGGGGTGGCACGCTGTGGCATGTTGTGGCATGGCATGGGGTGGCACGCTGTGGCATGGTCGTTCATGGCAAGCATTGGTGTTGGTACTGCTCTCGAGCCACAAGTCCTCACGTCCCTGCTGCAGTTCACGTGTGATGCTCTGGTTCCATTGCCCTGGACGGACGGAAGCATGGCGCGTGCAGCACCAGAGCTGCAGCGCCAGGGGCGCAGCACGAGAGGTGCAGTCCGTCCGTGTTTTCATGCTGCAGTCCGCTCAGGTAAAAAGGGATGCACTCGTTCCGTTCGAGACTGTCATTGCATCATTCTCAGGCCACAAGTCCTTGTATCCGTGCTTCAGTCTGCACAGGTACGGCAGGGCAGGTGCTGTCGCATGGTTGGATGGAATGTAATCCGTGCCGTGGTGTGGTAAGTTGTGGAACGATGTGGCATGGTGTATGCACGCGATCATGCATGAAGAATTTCATCGACTGAGCGAGAGTTTTTGCATAGCAATATCGAAAGAAAAACCACTGGAAGAAAAACCAGATAGAATTCGCCTTTCTCCATTTTGTGCACTGTATTGTGTCACCTGAGACAAGTAGGAGGAGGGAGATTTATTTTCTTTCAGCATTTGTGCTTTGCATAATATAACACCCAGCATCTCCTCTGTGCTCTTCCGCAGGCCGTGGCATCTCGCCTCATCTCACACATCCCTCAAGAGCATCGCTCTCATGCCACCGCAGCACTTAGCAGCTCCATACCAGCTATTAGCAACTCTATTCCAGCACTTACCGGTGCAGCAGAGAAGTCAAGGGAGGGGCACAATGTAGCTGTTGGTGTGGTGGGGTCAGAACGAGTTGCATCAGAAAGCTATCCCGGTGCCTTAGGAACTGACTCCGGCGCTTCAGGGACTTATGTTGGTGCCTTAGGAACCAGCTCTGATTCTCCCCTTGCTGCTGCTAATCGCGCTGGCAGCACCGGCAATTCTGGTGCTGGTGGTGCCTACGTGCCTGATGTAAGTCCGAGCAGCTTGGCGTGAGCTTCATGCAATGTACATCAGCTACACATCAAGTAGTTAACGTGTTCTCCCTTTGTTTATTGTCTTCGTTTCCATCTCCATACGACCTTGTAACGAGGTGACTCTTGAGCCAACTCAATTTTCAGTCTCCTGTCAGGTTGTAATTGCCGTTATGCTCCTCATTCCATCTCCATATTGTCACCTTCTCTGGGTCACTGTTTCCTGTATCCTTCCTGTCTGCTTCCCGGTTTGGCAGCTCATTTGATAACTTTGGCACTCATCTTGCTGTTTTGTTCGTTTGTCCGTGTTTGATTTCCACAAGTTGTAGCACTTCCAGTATTTCACTCCTCCCATGTCATTCTTCCGATTAACACCCTGCCACGTGGTTCATCCTCTCTTACTGCCCTCCCATGTGGCTTGTCCACTCTTACAGCCCTCACATTTGGCTCATTAAATCACCGCCCTCCCATGTTTTTGCTTGCAGGTGGATCAAGCCAAGGCACAGAACCTCATCATGCTCTCTGTAAGCGCACATGCAACACAACATGCATCTCAAGCGCATGTGTTTATCGCAACTCAAATGCTCAGCTGGGCTTTTAAAAGAGGAGATGCATCTGAAGAGTCCATGCAACTGTCATGCTCCTTCCCTCTCATGTTCTTGTCATGCCTTACTTCTCATGTCTGCCATCAGACGCCCATTTCTCATGGTATTTATACCCGTTTTCATGCCCCAATTATTACAGCTCCTGGAGCAGCAGGCTGAAATTCGTCGTCTCACCCAGCAGGTGCAAGCTCTGCAGGAGCAGCAACACCAAGAGGTCGATAGGACCCGTTGCTTTGACTGCCGACAAAAGTCCAGGCGGAGAACAAAAAGTGGTAATTGAGCCAATTTTGTTAGACACTACACTAGCATGTACCTGTGAATCGCTTTGGAGAGAGCAGAGACCATTTTGGGATTGTTGGCACAGTTAGGAAACAGCCAGGACAGCCAGTTTGGGGCCTGCTTCCATCATGTAGTCAATGTTTGGCAATTATCTAAGGCAGTGCATTGTGAAATTTCATGTGTAACCGGCCCTCACTGTGGTAGACAATCCCATCCTGCTCAGAGGAAAAATATACACGGACCTACTAAAATTTTTGTCAATGGTGGAGCTTGTCACAAATCAACATTGCGTCCGCTGTAACTACAATTGCCCCTGGACCGATGCTTGCACGGTTGGTTTGTTAAACTGTGTTTTATGTGTATTAGGTATGTTTCTATAGGCTATGCCGGGTTAGTCTTTAGAGGGAATAACATTCGTACTTGTATTCTCTGTACTTTCGCCTAGTGCAACTTCTCTTCTGACATTGTCGGTGTCACGCCACTGGCTTTTCGAGAACGCGTCGACCGAGTTCGAGTCCGTTGTGTGAGTGACTTCACTATTACCTAGGAAATGCTGGCTAAGACACTCGATGGGACTGACGTTTTACTCGGACGTGATTGGCGCGACTACACAACTCATGGATAGACTAAACGACTGGTGACTGCAGCGTATGGGTCAATGGTAACAACATCACCCTATCTTGTTGGAGTTCGCCTGAGCCTTGGTCAGTTCAAGTCAATGCCAT